TTATTTTATTTTATTTTATTTTTTTGTATTAAGTGTTAGACAGCAAGTCTGAGAATGGTGAGAAATAGTTTCTTACTGTTTTTCTTTCATTTCAAATTAAGGGCTCAAAAGGGGGCTGTAAAATTAATGACCAAGCTTATCCTTCTTGAATTGTTTATTGCTTGCCTGGCACAATGACGGAGGTGCACACTTACTCACGTGGTCGTTGCAGCATCCCTACAAGGCAAGCAGCCATGGGCGGGTCTGTACCATCGCACTTGTGGATGGGCACGGAGACGGAGCGCTTGCCTTCGTCTGAGCAGAGCCCCTCTAATACACTGCGTACTGCCACCAGAGCTCTAAAACCATCATGATTTCTCCTTCCCCTTTCTCCTCCTTCTTCTTGGCATGACATCTGGCCCTGACATAGGGTCAGACCAGCTGAGCACAAGGGAATGGGTGCGGAGTGAGCTTCAGAGTGGATGACATCGCGGTGCTCTTGTCCACGGAGCTCAAGCCTTGCTGACGACACAGTATCCACATGCCTACCTGCTCCCCCTGGGGCCACAGGGATGGGACATGGAGATGCCCAGGATGCTGAGCTGCTCTTTGCTGCCCTCTAGAAGGAGCAGGGAGATGCCTCCACCTCTTACTGAAGGTGACCTTTTTTTCCTGATTCACAACTTAACAATAAATACTATATGTGAGGAGGATGCTTATGGTGCAGGTCTGACACATTGGCTCATTCAGATCCCCAGAGTACTTTGCCTGTGTTACAGAACTCCAAAAGGTCTTAAGGAGGTTGGCCAGTGTTTTCCAAAGAGGGAGAGCTAGGGTTTAAGCTTAGGGCTGCATTATGAACCCTGTACCAACAGCTTCTTTGAAATGTTTTATTCCATTAAGTCCAAGATGGCAGTCAACAAGGGTTCTGGCCCCTGCTACCCCAGTTCCTTTCTCTTGTACTTACAGAGTCTGGGGTCCCCCTTCTTTCTAGTGGAGGTCTCTTTAATTGCACCCCACTCCAGAAATGCTTCATGAAGTAAGCGCAAGCTTTATTTATTCTAGGGATTCATGTTTGGAGAAAAAACTGTTTATATTTCATCTTTCCATCACTCCAAACTCTGATCCTTAGAAAATTTTGTGGTGGAGAGTTTGTCTGAAAAAGTAATTTAGATAAAGAGTCTTCTACCCCAAGAGTGGGGATCTTAGATTCTGTCCCTGGCCTTGACTCTAACTACTGTTAAGCTCCTCTTCTCAGTCTTGATTTCTTTCTCTCCATTAATCAAGAATGAATGGATTCTTGAAGAGACAAGAAAAAGGCAAAAGAGGTAAGGGGTAGAAGTCTCCTCATGTAGCAGGGAAAAGCAATTTCCTGTGAAGTTAAAGAAAGTGGCGCCTGTGAGGCACGGCAGGCAGTCGTGCCTGGCCTTTGTTGCATCAGACATCTGGAGGTGGCTTGTGCTGGGGCCAGAGGCAGAGTTCCCGAGGCTAGCTGCTGGCGAGGTGAGTGCCTACAGCTCTTAGGAAAGTGATCTAGCTTAGATTTTTCTGTAGGGACACAGAATTGCAAAGTAAATTTTCATTTGCATGTTGATGGGGAGTTTATTTTTCCGAGAAACTGTGTGTCAAAAGAAAGAAGCATTTCTTAATAACAATTAGTCAGATACAAAGCAAAGAAGAATAATTAAGGAAATGAAATGCGAGAAAATGAGGGCAAAATAGTCTCCCAAAGGGGGATCCACCCTATAAACCTTGAAAGCATTTCCTCCTTATCACCTGCATAAAAGTGACTGGCCCTTGCCAAATGGCAAAGAGCACAGAGAGAAGACACAGGAGCAGCTGGAAGCATCGTGGTGAGAGGTGAGGCCCCCAACTCCTTCAGGACCCTCACTGGTCCAGCCTTTCTCCATCAGAGATGCAGAAGGCAACTGGCATCTTGGTGTCCCAGTACGGGGTCTCCTCTACAGTGAGCAGGGCTATACTGTATGGGGAGTGAGCTGTAAGGTAAGGCGAGGTAAGGTAAGGAAAATTTATAGTGTTGTTCTTTTTTAATCCTTTTCAGTATTAAATATTTTATTTTTGGGGACTGGAGATTGAACCAGGAACTCTCCTCCATTAGACTACATCCCCTGCCCTTAGTACAATTTTATTTAGAGACAAAATCTTGCTAAGTTTCCCGGCCAGCCTTCAACTTGTGAGCCTCCTACCACAGCCTCCTAAATAGCTGAGATCACAGGCATGCACCACCATACTTGGCTTAAATATCCTTTTAAATGCAAGGTGTCCTGGGGTTCATTGGGACTCGATCAGAAGTGGGTTCTTGTGCCTCTGGAGCAAGCAAGAATGTCTGGGATGTGTGACTGAGAAGTGAAAGGCAGAGGGGCTGAGGGGCTGCTGCCTCCCTTCAAGTCCAGCTCAGGCAGAGAAGTGAGACCCTCTCAGGGTCGTTATGAAGCAGGATAATTAGGCAAAATGTTTCACACAGAGCCCACCATGTGCTGTGCATATGAGAAATGCTACCTACCATTATTATCTGAATTGGCCAAGGCTTCCAGAATCACATTTCAAGGGGGCAGAGCTCTGGGGACTCTCCTCAGATGTCCCTGAAAATGAGGTCTGATTCTTTTTGTGGGAAAGAAAGAATTGAATATAGAGCAACCAAGCTATTCAGCATATTGTCTGCCCTGCAGTGACCTCTCAGGGTACATGTGCCCGTGCTCTGGGAAGGCTGTGAATTAAGGCAAAAGAAGGGCTTGCTGTTTCCTGGCTCTATAAGTGAAGGAGACCAGAAATCCCAGGAGGATGTGGGCAGTGGTGATAGGCCAGTGTGCAGTTGTGGTCCACATTCCCAGGAGCATGTCAGGGGTCCACAAGGGCAACGTGTGGCTCCTGTCCCCCACTGCCACATGAGAAACCCGAAAATGAAAGGCTCACTGGCATCATGGAAAATGCAGGGTGCAGAGCCAGAGGTGTTCCAGGGTGTACCTGTCCTAAGTTCTATCTGTGAAGCTGGTCCTCCTGAGGCGGGAAGTGAGAGGAAGGTTACAGCTGTGCTCTGATGTTTGATGTCCTTTTCTCAGTGTGTATCAAAGGCATGATTGCAAGTGCCTTAAAGGAAGAAGTGGGTGGTGGTGGTGAGAAAATTAAAAGAGTGGGCACTGCAGGATCTGGCCCTGCCTCAGAATTGCAAATGTATCCCTCTTGTCCCCTGTCAGTGAGCAGCCAGTAAGAAGCCCCCAGCTTGGTTTCTGGGGCAAGGATGAGATGACAGCCTTCCCCTACCTCTTCATTGTGACTGAGTAATTATTAGGCAAGGCCTTATACCTCTTTTCCCCAACTTTTCTAGAAGGTGACATTTCCATAGTTAGCTTGAAACAAATGATATTAAGCAGATACACATTGGGGTTTTATAATAAAACGCTGATGCTTACTTTGGGGGCATAAATAACCAAATGTGCTTTTATGGTTTTTCAGATCTGTTGCCTAATTGCTATGGCATATTACCAACCCCAATGTCCTTATTTCATTTATTAAAAGCAATACTCTTCACCCCTGTTGACAAAGTGAGTCACAGTGGGGTGATATATACACAAATGTGCTCCTCAGAGGACTGTGCTGTGCTTTCTGGGGGTAAGGGTGCAGGAGGGCATTTCCTCAGCTGATTCAAGAAAGCCAGAGGAGGAGACATGTGCCCTTGAAACTCCGCAGGCTGAGGTTTGCACGTTGTGCTTTCCATTGCTGCCTGGCCCGCCCATGAGGTCCCTGTGCTGTCCACCAGTGTTTCCCATTCTATCATTGTCCACTGTAGGCTGGGCCACTGACCTCCATCCTTCCCATAGGACATGAAGACACAGTGTGTTCCTCTCTGGCTCCTGGGTACCACCCTTGTCCTGTGCTGTGTGTACACCCATGGTCTCAGGAGATGCCTGGCTTTTGTGGACATGCGACACCTAGAAGAGAGTTTCCAAGGAATCAAAAGAGCCATCGTGAGTATGAGCTGGGGGAAGGTGTGGGCAAAGGGACGTACCTCTCTTCAAGCCCTAGCCTGAAACACCAGTTCCCTCAGAGCGTTTGTGTCATGTGAGAGCATGAGGTACTCACTGCTATTCCTGTCCTGTGCACCTCCACAGCAAGCCAAGGACACCTTCCCAAACATCACCATCCTGTCCACAGCGGAGACCCTGCGGAGCATTAAGGTACTGGTCTGTGTTAGCTATTTTTGTGTATTTGTTTGTTTGTTTGTTTCTATGATAAAATGATCCTGGCTGAGAAAGAAATCTATACCCTGCCCAATTCTCTTTTCTCATTGCCTTGTGTGCTGAGCTCTCTGGGCTTCCCACTTATCACCTGAGACGTTGGGGTGCAGCAGTGCTCCAGAGATTGCAACTCTGGTGGCAGGTGTTAAACAACAGGCCACTTCCCCAGAGGGTGAGAGGAGTGACCAGTACTCTGAGGGGCCTGGGGTTCTTTGACTTGGGACAATTTTGAAGGTCTTCAGGAGAGAAGTGAAAAAACAAGGAACAACTGAACAGCAAAAGAGTTTGCAGATTACTGCATGAAGAGAGGAAGTAATGTGGAGGACGTGGGAGGGTGGGTGTGAGATCCGTGAAGGCGGAGACGTGTGGTGGGGATGGAGAGGTGCCCAAGCTTGCGATGTGCAGGACATGTGGGGGGCCTGTGGCAGGTGAGCTGTACCACTGTCTTGCAGTCATTTTACAAAGGTTCGTAGAAGACAGGTTAAGTAGAATCATGGAGGGTTTTCCAGACAAAAGATACCTAAAAGTGTTGGAGAGATAGCACAGTGACGGGCTTTCCAGTGACCAGGAGAGGCAAGAGAGCTTGGGAGATGGTGAGGCTCACGGTTCAGACAGGAGGTGCCAGAGGGTGCTACCAGCTCATGCTTGCCAGTGTGTCACTCTCTGACAAGAGGGGCCTGAGGTGTGCTTGACGTGAGCTCTTTCAGTCCTGGGAAGCATTGCAGAAAGATCCAGTGTTGTTTCCAGGGGTTTGTATGACAGAATCTAAAGTATTACTACAAGGAAATTGAGATTTAAGGAGGGAGAATGATGAGTGGGTGGCCACTCCAGGAATAGTCCCCAGACATGCCCCTTCAGTTCCAGATTCTTTCTCCTTTCAAGGTCAGTGTTCTGTGGAATAAGGAATGAGTTGGGAAGAGTCCCGCCACCTTCACCCCATTCCTTCTCTCCTCTCCTCTCCTCTCCTCTCCTCTCCTCTCCTCTCCTCCCCTCTCCTCCCCTCTCTTCTCTTCTCGCGTCCACTGTAGGCTGGGCCACTGACCTCCATCCTTCCTATAGGACATGAAGACACAGTGTGTTCCTCTCTGGCTCCTGGGTACCACCCTTGTCCTGTGCTATGTGTACACCCATGGTCTCAGGAGATGCCTGGCGTTTGTGGACATGTGTCACTAGAAGAGCGTTTCCAAGGAATCAAAAGAGCTGTACCCTCCCCTCCCCTCCTCCTCCTCTTCCTCTCCTCTCTCCTCCCCTTCCCTCTCCCCATCTCTTCACCTCCCACTCCCCCTCCTCTCCCTTCCCCTTTCCTTCTCTTCTCTCTCCCTTTCTCCTTTCTTTTTTGATCAAATTTCTTCTCCCAGAGTCACAATCTTTAATAACAAGGAGATGTGTAACTTGTTGCCCCTCTGGTTGAAGAGGACCAGTAAGTAAAGGAAGAGGTTTTCTATGATACGTTAAATTGTTGCCATCCAGGGAAAGCTGCCCTTGGCGCAAAGGAATTTTGCTCCTTTAGTGTTGAAAAGGATGGGCTCTGCTTAGGCAGATGCAGGGGCCCGGGATTGATCCCCAGCCTGCTGTGCCTGCCCTACCCCCTGGGCACACTGAGACTGCAATTGAGACTGGGCGTGGTGGTGTGCACCTGTAATCCCAGCTCTCTGGGAGGCTAAACACAGTCAGATCACATGAGTTCAATCTACGTAGTGAGACCCTTTAGACACTGTAGATCCTTACCAAAAAAAAAAAAAAAAAAAAAAAAGGATGCACTGTCAGCTATGAACCACTCTACCTGCTCTGAGCTGTAACTTTATGGGGTCATTCATTGGGTAGCCAGAGTTTACAAGCCCGAGAAGGGAGCTGTCTCTGGGCTGTACTGTGGGGATTTAGGAGCTCTTTCTCAGAGAGATCTGCATTCTGAAGGCTTTGGATTTAGCCAGATGCACCAGTGTTTATAGGCCCCATTCTTGCAAACCTCAGCCCTACATCCAAATGAAAATTGAAGAAGGCTCAGCGTCAGGATGCAGGTGGGGTGGCCAGGATGAACAGTGTCGCACCCCATGTAGTGCCTGTCAGGCGATAGCCAGGAATGTGGATGGATGAAGACATTAGAGAGACCAGCTTCAGCCTCCATAGTGTACGAAACACTTCGAAGAAAGCCCCTCGTCGGCCATCTGGCCTCTTACGAGGGAGCTGCTTGAGCCCTGGAAGGAGCCACAGAATTTGATGCTGACATGAGGGGGTACTGTCAAGAAGACGTCAGTTCACACCTGGATTCTGGGCCCCGGCCTTCGGTAATAAACCTCCTGACCAGTCGCTAGGGGACTAGGCTGCAGTCTGCCCTCCTCACCTTCTTTCTAAGTAGCTTTGCCACGAGAAGGAAGAGTGGATGAGCACTGAGGCCATCATGGGTGTTAGCAGATGGTTTTAGTTCCTTTGCTTCTTGCTGCCCTTCCTCAAGCAGTCTGCTCTGGGCTGTGGGGAAATCCAAGAAGAGGACCTCTGGGACTTCTCTGCTTTGCAGCCCGTGGATGTGTGCTGTGTGACCAAGAGCCTCCTGGAGTTCTACATGGACAGGGTTTTCAAGGACCATCAGGAGCTGAAGCCCCAGGCCTTGAGGACGATCAGCAGCGTTGCCAACTCTTTCCTCTACATGCAGAAAGCCCTGCAGCAGTGTGTGAGTTCACATGTGCGCGTGGCGACTCCCAGTGTCTGCTCCTGGTTCCAGATGTGCTGGCTCCCAGGAACCTTGGAATGGGGGTTGTGAAGTCAAATGATGTCCCCTGCCCTCTTGCCCACTGGGGAGACCACAGATGGCTTTCCCTGTGGTTACTCCTTTCCAGGAGAGTGGCGCCTTCCACTAAAGCCTGAGCTGAGGGCTTCTCACCATCTCCCCAGGGTGACCAGGGACTGCAGGCCTACCAAGAGCATACCCTCAGTCCTTTTTGCCCCTGGCCCTTTGGGGTTCCATACCAGATAATATCTGGGTAGTTCCTTGATCTGGGTAGCTCCTGGATAGTTAGTCTATTCCTAAGGGTCAGCTGTGAGTTCATTTTCTTCTGTTAAAAATCTAACATCAGAAACAAAAATGGCATTAACCAACTGGGACCAGGCGTGCAGCTGAGTGTTAGCCCTGTCCTCGCTAGTGATTTCCCGTGTAATGTTGTGGTAGCTGCACCTGTCTGTGTCTCCGTTTCTGAAGTTGTTAGAGGGGTAGCGATTCCTGCCCTGCTTGTAGCACTGCCTCAGGGAATCAAGGAGATATACCGAACCACTTAAATGACGGAAGTGTTTGTAGAGCGCCCATCTCGTGCGGTGCTGCACTCAGAGTGTCACAGGGCAGACCTGGACCGCTTTCTTGGTGCTGGCCATCTGGGGACAGTAGATCCACGAGGAGCAAAGGCCATGGCCTGGCTGACACCATGAACAGACTTCTTGGCCCCTGGCTGCTACTGCCTGAGCTTACTCGCCTGACTCACTGTGGACAGAGCAGAAATGTCACTTCTCATGCAGGGCGGTGGCAGCCAGAGCAGGCCGAGGCAGGACGGTTCTCTGATGAAGGTTCTGTCTCTATGCATCATAGCAGGTGCAGAGACGGTGTCCCTGCAGTGAGGAAGCCACCAATGCAACCAGAATGGTCTATGACAACTACGATCAGGTAAAGTCTGTGTAGAGTGTGGGAAGAGGGGAAACGAGAGGGCCAAGTGCGCAGAGAGAGCCGGTCTTCCAGCCTCCTCTCTGCTCGCAGCCATGCTCTGCAGCAGTGAGTGTGCACTGCAGGCCAGCATGCCGCATTGCTTGCACTCAGCTGCTCCCTTGTCCCATCCTCTGCAATCTGGCTACTGCTTCCCTGTCCTGGCACGCACCAGGGCTGACCCGTGTTTAATCTGAGAAAGCACATAGTGCCAAAGACAGGGAAGATACAGAAAAAGCAAGGTCCGCAGTGCGTGCTGAGCTGCCACACACAAACCCATCGCGCGTGAGGTGTCCTTGTGGCCAGCGCCCACCCCAGGACCGTGTGCTGATGAGGCCATCGAATACGTGTCCACACACAGATGCTAACACAGGAGGGTCCCTCTTGTGTGCACCGCTGCAAGATCTCCCTCAGGAGCAGCTTCTGCAGGGGCAGCTCTGTGGGGAGCCCTAAAGTTTGACCGCACTCCTAACGATGCCAATGCATGGAGGAGCAAAGAGCCAGGGTCTGTTCAGAGCTCTCTTCTTGGGAGAGAAGCCCTTTGGAGAAAGTTAGAAAAAGTGGAGAGTCCAGTAGTTCTTCCTGTTAGCAAGGAATTGTTCCAATTCCACTACAGATATGAGCCACCAATCCTTCATCCCAATGCTACAAGTATTATCTACACTGGCTAAGTTAGGGGACCTAGGGATGAGCAGGTTAAGTAACTTGAGTGGCTGCTGCAGCTGAGGACCTAGCTTTGCCTTGCTGTGATGCACGCCCTGCAGCTCTGAGTGCCTCCTTCTGGTCTGGAGGGTGGTGGGATGAGCCAGGCATCGTGCTGTGGCTCTGGCTCTTGCATTAACTGGCTGTGCAAGGTTGGGCAGGACACTTGGGGACTATAGCGCCTCTCCATGCCACAGGGGGAAGGCAGGCTGTCCCTGCCTGCTGAAGCCACTGAGACTTTCTGGGAGAACAGACGTGCTCAAGCTGGTTGATGAGACAAGAAAATAAGCAGAAAAAACTGGTCAATAGGCAAATAGTTCCTGTGTAAAAAACAAGAGGAGAAAAAGTGAAGAATTGTTTATTTTGTTTATAAGGAGCTGATGATTTAATTGATTGTATATGGAAAAAATGGTTTGGTTGCATATTAGGAAATAATTTAAAAACTGTATGCTATGTGAATATATTTGAGGAGTAAAAGGGAAATTCTGGGGGTGTGGTGATCTGTGGAGTGGTCCGTCCATGCAGGTGCTCACTGCTAGCACTGACGTCATTGGTTTCAGCTGGAGGTCCCTTCTGCCGCTACTAAGTCCCTGGGAGAACTCGATGTCTTTCTCGCTTGGATTGCCAAGAATCATCAGAAGACTTCCCCTGCCTGATAGCAAGAGCCTATCAGGGTGAAGGCTTCATGTTTCCTGAGGAGAGAGCTGACTCTGAAGGGGAGTGAGATGGGAAAGTCACCCATGTCCACCTGAAATGGGGGGTGTTGTCTAAGCAACCTCCGTCCTTCCTCTAGAACTGGGGCATTGCAGGGGTAAACCTGAGACTGAGCAGGTCTCACTCTGCAGCTCGAGTTTCCCTGGGTGGTCTCTGGCTCTCTGACCCCACCCCAAAATAGTTTGTTTATAGTGTTATTTATGATGAAATAGGACTTTTGAAAGGCCCCAGGGCCATCCTGGAAGGAGAGGTTGGCTCCCCACTAACTTATTGCAAAGTTGCTTCTCCCACGCGGGGTGTGAGCTGCGTAGTCTCCTGTAGTACATGTTGTACTGCCTGACATTTCTAATAAACTCTGCTTCACCTGTGAGTGCAAATGTCTTCTGACTCAGGGACAGTGAGACAAGGAATTGTAAGTAGACACTGTTAAAAATAAAAGGGATCTGGGCCAGGGAGATAGCTCAGTAGAATAAGTGCTTGCCTGGCAAGCACAGGGTCCTGGGTTCAATCCCTGGTACCACAAAAAAAAAAAAAAAAAAAAGTAAATAAAAAGTAAAAATAAAAGGGATCTTGAAGAACATAAATAGATGGACCTAGAAGGGAAGAAGAATATATTCAGGGCTCAAAACAAGCTAGCACAGAAAAAGATTCCAAATGGCATATGACTCCATTTCGCCTGCTGTAACTCAGTAGCAGAAGCTGGTTTATGAAGGGCAGAGAATTATTTAGCTCACAGTGCAGAGATTCAAGGGCCTAGAGGCGACCCTGGCTTGGCCCTGGGAGGGCCGTGCTGCTGATGGTCTCACAGTGGAGGAGATGTGTGCTGGGGACGTGTCACACCTCAAAACAGGAAGCCAGAGAGTGAGTTAGGCGCTATCACAACAGGCCTGGTTCTTGAGAAGAAATCAGGGTCCCCGGAGAGTCACCATAATTCATTTTGAGGGTTGCTCTCTCCATGATGCGCACTGTCGTTAGGCCTTACCTCTTAAGATTCCTTCATCTCTCACGCTGCCACACTGGGACCAGGCCTCCAACATGTGAACCCCTGGGGGGGCACGTTCAAGCCAAATTTCAACCACGGCATCAAGTGACCCATTCTCCACTTAGTGCACACCCCTCCACAGAATCACAAGAAGCGGGCCACAGCGCCTCCGACCACAGCCTTCTCTTGATTCCTCCCCCTTCTCTTTGCCTCTGTCTTTCCTTCATGTCTCTCCAATCTTCTTTATTTGCCTGTCTGCCATCTTTTTCTTCCTATTTCCCACCTTTCCTGGCCCCTGTTCTCCAGTAGTGTATGTGCTGGACTGAAGATAACATGTGTTTTAATCAGGGATGGTTGTCATGGTGACAGACCTAAACAAGTAAGCCCACCCTGGCAGAGGCGATGGGACCTAGGCTACAGTAGGAGGTCACATGGGTACCAGCCTCTAGATGGACATCACATCAGTGATTCAGAGCACAGACACCTGTCTCAACAGTCTTCAACAGCTGACATCTACGGGGCATCTGCCATGGCCAAATGGAGAGATTCATACTTCATAGGCATTATCCTGGGTCACTAGCTACACTGTCGCTGGCCAGCTAACACCCTTTATCTCTGGCTGAGAGAGTTCACAGAGCATGCCTTAGTGGAGAGACCAAGACCTCTGAAGTCAAGCAGACCTGGGTCTGGTCCTAAGTGACCAAACAAAGTATTTAATGTCTAATGCCACCGTGACCATAAAGTGAGATGAGGGTGGGAAGTGTGGCCACGTGGAAGGTGGCTAGCCCAGGAGCCACATTCTGGTGTGAGGGCTGCTCTTGCCTCCATGCAAGTCACCATGTCTCTTTGGTCCTTAGTTGTCTGCGATGACCTCATGTATTACCTACAAGAAAAGAGCGAGCATCATTATGCTCGCTTAGAAATCCCTAACAACTGCACACCGCACCCTCCCCAACTTGGGTCCTCTGGTGGTGTCCCCTACACCTCTGAGCCAGCTGTCCTGGCCTCCTTGGTGCTCCTCAAGCACACCAGGCATGCCCATGGTCGCATTGGGACCTTGGCGCTCTGCACATGCACACCTGTGAACTGAGATGGGATTTAGAAAACACAAGTTATGCTTCCATGGAACTGATGGGCTGTCATGAGGGGGAATCTTTCCAAGGTGACCTTAGAGGGATGTCCATGCTGAGCAGCTGGGCCATGGCAGTTAGAGCATCTCTGATCTTTTAAGACTGCCTTGCACTGAGCTTTCATCAGACATGTGTGTAGTGGGCACTCCTTGTCCTGCAGGCCTTTACTCCAAAGGGTTCAGCACAGGATCCCTCAGCACACAGCACATGCCCTTCTTGTTTTATTTTTATCTGCTTCTCTTCTTGAGTGTGAGCTCAATGAGTATGAACAGTTTGCTTTTTTCCCCTGCTTGGCAAGGTGTTAAATTCAACTGTCTTGAATAAATGATCTGGGTGAATTAAAACAACACTAATAGCAACATTTATACACAGTACTTTCTATATGCCAGGGAATAGTCTAAGAAACATATGCATTATGTTATAATATGAATACTTTATTTATGTTCACAATAATCTATACAAGCTCTAAGCATGAAATAAAATGAAAAAAGTCACTGTATTGAATACTGGTAGTACAGATAATTAAGCCCTAATGAGGAAACCGGACACAGAGATGTTCAGTAACGTTTCCAAGGCCACACAGCCCAAGAATAGCAAAGCCAGCCTTGTAATCCAGAAGTGCAGTTCCAGAATAAACTGTAACGTTGGACACAAAGTGTACTTGTTAAAGCACTCATGAGCACTGAGGTAATAATTTATGTTTTCTCTTTAACTCCTCAGGATTATCCTTGAATGTAAAGATTATCAACCAGCCTGTTATACAGATGAAAAGATCTGAAGCTTAGCGAGATGCAATGATCCACCTCTGGCCAGGTTGGGAGGAGACTTGAATTCAATGGCAGGGCGTTCTGCTCAGAACTGGTGTGTCTTACTCTCATGACGCCAGAGAGAGCAGGAGACACACTGGTGAATGACAGCAAGGGATGAGGTGGAGGAAGAGGAAGAGGATGAGAATAGAAGAGGAGAAGGAGAAGTAGGAGGAGAAGTAAGAGGAGGGTAGAGAAAAGGCGCAGGGAAAAGAAAAGGAGGAGGAAGAGAGAGAGGAGGAGAAAAGGGGAGAAAAGGAGAGGAAGAGGAAGAGAAGGAAGGGACGAGTCCCAGGGAGGGTGTGCTGCTGGTTTTCCTGGAGAAGCTTGTTATGTTGGCTTGCCTGATACGAACTAGGCTATTTTCATTGTCAGAGAAGCTCATGTCTTAGTTACTTTTCTGTCATTGCTGCGACAAAATACCTGACAGTCAAAGTTAAAGAAGAAAAGGTTTGTTTAGCTCACAGTTTGTGGAAGTTTCAGTCCATGTTCAGCTGGCTCCAAGGCAGAGTGGCATAGCAACAAGGGCAAGAAGCGGGCAGCAGAGAGGAGCAAGCCCCTCTCCCTCCCTTACGCTGCATGCAAGCTACGCAGCCCAGGGCAGGTGGAGTGCTCACACTATAATCCAAGCATTGGACTGTGAATCAATCGCAAACTCTAGACGCTGCCTCCATGACTGCACGGGGCTTCAGAGGGACATCTGGACACAGCCCATAGCAGCTTGGGTCTTCGCCGTCGCTGAGAAAGGCTGTGGTTTCTTCAGGGGAGCTCTGATCTTAATACTGAGCATCACTTCCTCGCTCCAGTGCAGCTCCCTCAGCCTGCTGGCACAGCTCCTCCCCCTGCCGGTGCCAACTTTCTAGCTTCCACCACTGACCTTTGGGCCTTTGCAGTGCAGATCCTTGCTACAGACTCCCATGAGACATTGTGGTGGGATCTAGGTCTCCAGCCGGACCTGGGCAGGATATTGCTATGGGACTCAGACCCTCCCCTGGATCCTTTGGGTCTCTAGTGTGGGGATAAAACTCCTGCACTCTTTTGCTTTGGACTCTTTGGGTGAATATTGTAAAATAATCCTATAAATTATGTCCTGTATTAAATTGTTTTCCTTGCAGACCCCAACTACAACATGGACCAACACGAGCACAGGAGCAGAGGCTGGCTGTGAATGGGTCACACAGCCTTCTCAGCCCAGCTGGGCCCTGGGTTCCTCCTGAGGGATGTGTCCTCCCTCTTTCTTGTCACACTTAGCCCAGGCCTCAGGGCAGTCCATGCTTTGGAGGCACCCCGAAGCAGTGATGGTCTAGAGCAAGTCCCCCCAGTCACACTTGCTCAGGGCAACTGTCCTGTAGCATCACAGGTCTGCCCATGAGCTAGGCCCAATGGACAAGGGATAGGCTTTGGTATGAATTCTCGGCCTCGCCACCTTCTTTGTGACTTTGGACAGTTTACTCAACCTGAGCCTCCATTTCCTCATCCATACAGTGAAGGAGATGTTTACCCCACAGAATGCCACAAGGATGTGAGATGTTGTTTACGCAATGCTGGGTATGTATAAGAGCTCATTAAAAATGATATTTTTGACTATTCCCTGATTCTCTGACATTTTAAAAAGTCTTATTTGCCACAAAACAGAGTTGTTTTGGGACAGCCTTCCTCTTGCATGTTATTTTTAAGCTGGCAAGTGAGACAAGGCAAGGGACAGTGGCTGAGGTCTGCATGTCTCGGCCAGGTGCAGAGCTCTGGGGCTCTCTGCTGAGTCCCTGTTCAGGGGCTTGCAGTATCTGCACAGCTCGCTGACTCCTGGCCACTTCTCTGACTGCCCTGCTGCTTGGACATGCCCCTGAGGGATGGGCCAGTGACTTCCTTCCATGTCACAGCATGCACTGGGGCAACACTCGTCCCCGGACAGCGTCTAGAACTTGCAAGCTTCTGCCTGACAGATCATGAGGCTTAAATGAACAGGCCCTAGAACAGGCTGCCTGTTCAGGGGCTTTCTTTTCCCCTCTGTCTGACCTGGTTGG